CCGCGAATGTTTTTGGAAAATGCAGCGATTTTACTGCCGTTGCGCGGGCTTCTCGAACCTTCTTGGAGTTCCCTTCGTGGAGGTGCACAAGTGAGAGAACTTTCCTGCAGGGGCAGCCGGTTCTTTGCCTTTATTCAAGGCGGAGCCTTTGGCGCTCGCCGCAGGAAGTGCCCTTGCTGTTGGAGGTGATCTGCTATGTCCAGCCTCATTCCAAGCGGTGAATTAGGGTGGACATTTCTGTTCATTCCCAGCCACCGCACACACGGCAAAACAGCCTATTTACAACGACAAAAGTCAAAAAAATTTTGAATAAAATTTTAATGCCAAACCGGTCTCAAATATCCCTTATATCCGATACAAGATTAGGTTTTTTTCTAGAAATGCCCTAAACCATGGGGCAGGTATCCAAACTTCGAGTTCTTTCATCACCCTTACTCGGCTCATCAGTTTTGTCCCAACCGTAGGTCGATTTGTTGTGTTTTTGTGAAGTTATAGTGCATTAAGTGGAATATTTTCAATATGGATATTTTACCTTGTGGTAAGTACATTGTAATTTCAATATAATTATGTAGTTATAGAAATATCCTAGTGGAATATTCGAACATATTCGTTGAATGCACATTTTTTTTTGTTGTTTGCCTTAGTTTGACTAGATTTTCAAAAAAAGTTCCACATTATTCCGGTTAGAAAAAGTGAACAAACATAACCCACGTGTCTCAACTTCAGTTCGCAATAGTTTTTAGCACCCCTTTTTGCCACATTTTCACATAATTCGTCATTTTTCACAGGTAGTCAGACAGTCGATGGCGCTGTGGCGTTGCCGAAAATAACAAGAAAATAACTGTTCTTGATACTGAGGAGCGAAAGTTTGTTCAAGTCATCGATACCTAAGTGCAATAAACGATTGTTTGATTACATTGTCGACAAATACAACATTGAGGATTGTCCATCAACAACAGAAAAAGCATTGAGAATCAAAATAAAAGTTTTCATCACGAAGTTGAGGTCTAAATGGGGAGAATGCCACAACATGCAAGAACGATTCTTTGACAAACATGCAAGGTGGTTGAGCGAAGAATTCCAAGTTCCTCAATTTTTGAATATTGAAGCAGTTACACCTAGGAGAAAAAGAATCCAAGGCAGACCAAAAAAAAGTTTTGAGGAGTGTTCTCTGCGCACAAAACAACGAAATGTTCGAACTTTTGTCGACAATGTATCTCTTGAGCAACTTTCTTATGCTGCCGAATCCAGCTTAGTGAAGACGGGAAGAAGAAAAATTGCGAAAGTTATAAAGCTTGCTCTCGAAGCTTCACCAAAGAGTTTGAGAAAAATGCAGCATGTGAAAGAAATACCTTCATTACAAAAATACAGCCCTGAAGAAGCTTTGGCACTCATTATTGATACGAATCTTACCAAAGAACATTACATTAATATTCAGAGAGGTGCCAAAACAAATAGTATTATAATTTCTGAAAGCGAGGCTGCGATANGTTAGTTGATTTTTAAGTTTCTAGTTTGATAGATTTGAATGTTTACTGTTCTAGCTAGTTTGTTTTCCTGTCATACATATCTATATGAATCAAAAACTTTTTTTAAACAATATTTGCCTTTTATTCCTATAAAAACTCAACCAACATGAAATTATATCTCACAAATAATGTTTGATACACACAATTTATGTTTCTGTATTGAAAAATGTTTTTGTCGCCGTAAATCGGCTGTTTTGCCGTGTGTGCACCGCCTTAGTTTCATTCATGTGTGTTCCTACGAGCAGCAAGGGAAGAGTAGGTCACCTCTGGCATAGCCCCGCATTACCAAAGGTAGGCTGATTACAATGAGGTTTCGCCTGGTTCCCCAGGGGGATCATTCGTGACCGCATATCATCCTGCGACCATTCAGCTGTCGGCACGGTTCCTTACACCTTAGCTTGTGTAGGCTGGTCCACGGTGGCATGTTAAGCAAAGGCTTTTGGGGGATTTTAGCTCCTCTTCCCTTTCATATTTCTGCAACTGATCAGGAGTCCGGCTACCCCATCCGTAAGGCCACATTGGCTTCCCGGACAAGGCCTCCAGTCCCCTGGCCGTTCCCCTATCCGTCACCTGGGGACGCGCCCGATAGGTATTCCAACCTACGGGACATTTTGATGTTATTTTCATTCAACGAATACGTTTTACGAATTTTTTAGCGAGAGTAGGGCTTCGAGGCCCGATGCCCTTTGGAGCAGCTACTCCACTTTAAAGACGGCTTTAATGCGTCCCAGAGAGATTGAAATGATGGCTCCTGAATAGATTGCTATGATATCGGAAGTTATGCATCATACAAGCAACTCACTATGAGTTAGATGCAGTTGATGAATTACTTTGGAACGTAATCAGGTGAAAAGGCGATAGGTGGGGGTTTCGATAACTAACAAATCCACAAAAACTTGTTTGCAAATCACAATAATTGACTACAAAAGTTATTTTTTTCCACAATCGTCTTTTTTCAGGAAACAAAATCGTTAAAACATTTCTTGTTCAGCATACCGTTTTGAGAAATTTCGACCACATTGTACAACATAAACAGTATCACTCCGGACACTTAGCTCATATCAGAATTTGTATCAAATATCAACAACATATTATTAAAAATGAGGTGACTGAAGTTCGTTATATTTAATATTGCAATTGTTCATTTTTCAGATCAAGGCACGAAAAAAGGTGGCCATAACTGTTCTGGTCTTCGTTGTGGTTTTCAGCGTGTGTTTGGCCCCGTGTCACGCCTTCCTGCTGTTTTTTTATTTCCACCCTGATGCTCAAGATTTGTTCAACGACTTCTGGCACGCATTAAGAATAATTGGTTTCTGTCTACTTTACATCAACTCTTGTGCAAATCCAGTGGCTCTGTATTTTCTCAGCGGCGCCTTCAGAAAATATTTCAACAGGTAAATGTTATTAACTCATTGATGAACAATTTACTACTCCATAAACATGAAACGTAAGATCACAGATGAAGTCTACTCACCGCATAGTTCATTTAAGGAACCGATAATTTTTTTTTCATCTCTAACTTTTCATAGATCTTTCATGATTTAAAAAAATATCTCAAGTGTTCTAAAACCTTTTTCTCAACTAGACTTTGTGACATAATTGTTTGGTACTATAGGTTTGAAAACTTGGATTTTTTTACTGCTCACAATTGATGTTCTTCTTGTTTCTGTATGAGACTATCACTTGGCACAATCATGTCGCTGGAATTGCATAGGCTGCTTCTTAAAAACTCAGAAAACTATTCCTAATCAGAAAACTGTACAAACCTCAGAAACTTTTGATGATAATAAAGCTCAGTTCAGACGTTCTTAGGAGGATTGTTCACATGTATGGAGCTCCGCCCCTAAACATAACCTGAAGCTGCTGGATTCCATCCAGAAACCAGTCATCACTTGCAATCTTGATAGTCGGGATCATCGAAGAAAGGTTGGAGATTTATCTCTCTTTTGTAGAAACTTCCACACTTCCAAGTCAGTTGGCATATTTGATTTCACCAAGAGCAGTACATTTCTGTGATACGAGACGGACTGCGGCTACTCATCGTTTTGACGTTCAACTCAGTACACCTCGAACTTCACTATTCAAGAACTTTTCTATTTGGACAACTGCGTTTCACCAAATTCAATCTCAAGCCATCCAAATCCAACGTGAATCGCTACTTTCGTACAGCACCGCTCTTAGATCGCCTTAAGGATTTTTCTACACTGCTTTCGTTTTTTATGAAAGAAATCATTCACTTTTATTTGAATTTCAATAGTGATAATAACTTTTATTATCATCTACTACTCTGAAGTCTCAATTCCAGCGAATGCTACTTCTTAGGAAGACTCCATCTAAAGGATTGACAGAAGACTAAAATCATGAATGTTAACAATTCAAGGGGGTCTCAGAAGCGGTTTGTTGTAAATGCAAGATTTGACATCGAACGCCAATGCATATTCAGCTTCTTTTGTTCTATGCAAATGTAAAACAACTCGAAAAGCAATGACCAAAGCGAAACCACTACTATCAACTGTTCGCCATTAACTCTCAATATTTAACCGTGGTTTCGAAACTGAAAATCAAGCCTATCACACAAACGACCTACGTTCAATTCTCCAACGAAAAACTTTTTTTATGATATCTTGGCTGTGGCGAAACAAAAATGTGCTGAGCAAAAAGATGGGCTGACGTAAGCGCGCCACGTGACTGGGTGGTCTGTCGTTAAGGGATACGCCTGATCCTGATTGTCTGTCTGCTTGAATTATTTATGTCTACAGAAAATTCAAATCTCCCGCCACGATGATCTGAGATACTGAAGCATGCCCTCTGATTAGCTGGCGAGCTGGGTGATAGTTTGAGGACGCTACGTGACAATTTGGTACACTCTGATTGGCTGTCTAACCGCCCAGCTGGCTGAGTGGAAATTTGAGGACACCGCGTGACAATTTGGTGCACTCTGGTTGACAGGGTGGTCTGTTCGTCTTGTCTGGCGAACTGAGAAGCAATCTGACTGGTGTAATGACGTCACTGTCTGCCTGAACCGACGTAATTTTTACTTCAACTGCAAAGCATAGCCAAGAACAAAGCATTTGTTACTCAACCTCAGGGGTCTCGTCAATTATAAATATTCGTGGTTGGAGTTTTCTGCCAATATCATAGATGTCGTCTTCTTTATGAAAACGACGTCATGGCCTTTTCTTAAACAAGCTTAGTCCTTTGAAGCTAGTTCAGTTCAGTCTAGTACAACTGATAGGATGCATGACAATTCGAAACAGCAATGAATTCATTAATTTTCTCCAATATACCCACGACGTTTTATTTTTCAGGTATTTGCTATGCATCAAACTAAAGCAACCCCGTTTCAGATCATACCGAACTCGACAAACTACGTCTATATCTCTATTATCAACGAAAACCAATCAATCTATCAATTATGGTAAAGGAAAGACAACCACACCCACTTCCAAATCACCACCAGTGGATATTCAAGAAGTTGTTACTTTGGTAGGAGATGGTAGCAACAAAGAAAGCTGCAAAGATTGATGTTGTATAATGACAGCATGGAAATTATTTATTTGTTTGTTCGTTGTCAGTGACAGAATGGTTGATGTTTCAGAGGTATTTGGGATTGTTCAACACAGATTGTTCAACCTGACTGTTTAAACAGAAATCAAGTTGAGTAATAGTCAACTTAAAAATATAATTTTTGTGGAAATGTTATGCAAAAGCAATAATTATTTTGCTTAAATTTTCTGTACAGATGGAGATGAGTACTTATGTGTGGAAGATCATAATCATGGTGTATTTCAGAACTTTAGAACAAATTTCAATAACCCAAATCGTAATTTAAAAATTTAGGCATTCATTACACTGCAATGTAACACAGTATGATGGCTTTATTTTTCGAAAAACCTCTCTCAACTCTATCAATCTTTTGTATGCTATTTTTCAAAGTGTCTTGATAACATCCAATACGTCTTAAACAATCTATAATATTTTTTTCTTGTTCAAAACGTCATGTCGAGTAAGATAATCTGCTTTTTCACATATGCTTTAAGGAGGCCCATCAGAAATTATTCAATACTCAGCATCTGTATAGATATTTCGCCCCTTTTATTTGTTTTTTCATTGATTCCACATAAAATAAAATACTAGCCACCTATTTCAATCAAGTTGTTGTTACTTATGGTGTATTTGGAACAATTGTTAATAATTTGCTTGTTTCTTGAATGCAGAAGATTCATTCATTGTTTGCCTACCAAATAAATGGGTCGAATTTGAAATAATGTTTCATTGAGCCCTGGGCATCTTTCATTGGTGTAGAAAAGCTACAACACGCAAAAGTGGGCTTCTACAAGAATATGATATTGCAGGTGAAATCTGAAAATACTATGTTTCTTTTTATTACACTTCATTGTCGAAAGATGAAAATCTCGTCGATGAAGCAATAATAAATATTTATAGAAACCAATAGAAAATAATAATAATAATAATAATATTTTTTTGCCATTCAATTTGAAATATACAATAATCTTAGTTAACGACAAATGAATGTAGTTCCCATAGAAGGATAAACCTGTGCGTGGGCTATATCATTTTAATATACAATAGATTATAATGAATGAAATAAAAAAAATAAATAAAGTTTCTTTCGGTATGAACAAAAAAAAGTACTAGAAAAATTGTATACAGATATTACATTAAAATCATATATAGTCAATATAAATAGAAACATTTACCATGAACAAAAAAAAGCACTATAAAAATTATATACAGATATCACATGGAAATTACATATAGTTAATAAAAATAATACATTTAGGTTATATAATGAAACAATCGCAATAGGTGAATTACATCGAACATCACTCACACATCAATCAAACAAATACCCTATTTTTTTGAAATGAAAAAAAAACAAACAAATCATGGAGAAGTTGACCTAATCACATACATCTTCTACAGATATTTATACATTGTATATATTTTTCACATCAACATATTGGTATATCTGTGCTCTAGGCAAACCTGAGATCCAAGCTTTAAGCTTATTTTTTAACATAGATTTGATATGTGCTGGAATAAGATTATACAGCCGAGGATCTAAGTAAGTATGACACATTTGTAAAGTATTTTTCTCTGATGATCTATATATGTACCAAGATACTTCATTTTATTTACTGAAGAAGTAGTGAGATTCACATTATCATATTTTATAAGTAGTGATTTGAAACTTGGTGAATGGCTAGCATAAGATGTAAAGGTAATGTAAAATAATAATAATAATAATAATAAAGCATTTATTGGTATACTCCCAGCACTAATACATAGAGATATCACCGTTATCATACGATATACGCTCTAAACTTATTTTTTGATTCGATTAAAGAACAGGAAAAAATATCACAATATTCACAAATTTTGTTATAGTTCGTGCACATTACATAGATTGGTGCCTTAAGCATAAGGTGAGTTTGCGCCCGTTTACACATAAAAGTGCAGCTTTTTCGAGATGTTTGCCGGGGTACAAATATGTTGATGTAAGATAATAATTCACAGGAATCAATTTTATTGTTCAAAAGATTGTACAGAAATATCAAGGAAGTCTGCGCCCTGCGTTTTTCTAAGGATATAAAGTCAAATCTTTGTAATGAAGAAACATAGTTTTGGCCTCTAGGTGGGTATACTCCATCAATTTTAAGGCTCAAAAATTTCAGAAATTTTTTTGTGCCGTCTCCACGATAGAAATATAATGTCCATATATGGGGTTCCATATTAGAGATCCATATTCTAGTTTTGATCGGACAAAACAGAAATAAATTTTTGTTAGAGCAGACAAATTTGTGAAATTTCTACAATTTCTTACAATAAAGTCGTATGCACGATATGCTGCATTTACTCTACGACTAACGTGTATGTTAGAGGTGAGCTGCGCATCAAAATAAATTCCCAGATCTTTTATCTCGTCAGTACGCTGCAGTTCTACATTATCTATTGAGTATGCATAGTGAAGACTATTACTTTTCTTAGTAAATGACATTGCTTTACATTTAGATATATTCACTGGGAGTTTATTTTTGATACACCACCTATGAAAAATATTCAACTGGATCTGCAAATAACTGCAATCATTTAAAGAAGTGACGGACGTATATAATTTTAAATCATCGGCGAACATAAGCCTCTTGCATTCGAGAGATATACACAGGTCATTTATGTACAGCAAGAACAACAGTAGGCCTAAATTAGATCCCTGTGGTACACTGCTGGTTGCCGTATACACTGCCTATTTGTAACAATTGTATTGAACAAAATGTTTACGGTTGACTAAATATGGTTCCAAAAGTGCTATATACATTTTAGGAAAACCTACGTTCGAGAGCTTGTGTAATAGAAGTGTGTGATTTATTTTGTCGAAAGCTTTCGAGACATCTGTATACAACACATCCACCTGACCCCTATTATCTAGTGTTTCGCACAGAAATTGACTGAATATCGATAGATTACTAATTGTCGAACGAGAATTCATAAATCCATGTTGCTAAACAGAAATTATATATCTCGTTGACAAGTAGATGCGGTTGTACAAAATTATCTCGAATAATTTGGCTCCAATATTCAAGAGAGATATTGGCCTATAATTATCAATCAGATTCTTGGCATCTGATTTGTGAACAGGACACACCTGTACACAAAACATTTTACAGGACACACCTGTGAAATGTTTTAGTAGTTTACTTTCAAATCATTGAATTATAACTTTGGAATGTTTTTCAACTCCAGTAATATTCATTACTACACCAAAGGTTCCAAAACAGTGCATCATAAGTTCTTTCAGACAGCTCCACGTTTTCGATTTGTAAATGACTACTGAGTCATCTGCGGAGCTTATTTCGATCGGTTGTAAACAACACATAATAGGTTTTTTAAAAATAGGTTAAAATATTTTTCATACATTCAGGAATATAAAAAATGATTGTTATAGTGATAAAAAAGTAAATATAAATGAATGAATGAATATGCATATATAAACGCTAATAAATACCACACATATACATATTGTTACTTTTTTCCCCGTGGGTTCACCAATTATTGACTACACTGAATAATAAAACTTTATTTCACTTTGAATACAATAAAAACTTCAACTGAAAATTTGAATGCTTTTCGCCTAACTAGATCACTGCGCGTACCGCACTATAGCTTCCACTTGACTGTGTCAATATGCTCGCAGCTAGCGTTTAAATATCGTAATTGAATGCCGTAAAAATTTCGCCGAAGTTCTGTCGAAGTCGGTAGCATTATTCTCGCTACTTTTCGAGTGGCGGGGAATCATTGTACATTCGTGCGCTCTTAGCTACGTCACCATTGGTTTATGGCTAAAAGTGGCGGCCGGCGTTATTTTCTTTCGGGCATGATTTACAACAATATTTATATACATCCTAGATGAACGAATAGTCAGACATTAACAGGTGACTGAGGAAGTGAATAAATAAAATATATAAGTGAATAAAATTATCAGATTCTGTTTTCAAAATTGCAGGAGCTGATGAAAATCAACAGAAACGATGATTAAACAGAGAATAATTTAATATCAGAATTCCATTCACATCTTCATGAGATTATTCTTGAACACTATAAAATACCCGATCAATGAGAACTTGCTTTACAAACTTCCCGAACTGATGAGGTAATTGGATGTCTTTAAAACTTGTCGGTAGATGGTTATATATTTTAGCTGCATTATAAATCAATGAGTTTTTAATTAAATTCGGTAATCGAATAGGCAGTTTTCATTTGTCGTTTTGGCGAGTGAAACCAACAACAACGTAAGATGCCAAGGCTATTCACAGAGGCCATAAAAATAGATTAATATAAGAAGGAATAAAGCTGAAACTTCAACAAGATATGGATACCGGTTCTCCATAGCAGAAAGATTCTCCCAATAATTGAAGAAGGGTCGGACCAAACAGGTAAAAGAACAGTCGGCCGTCCAAAACCTAGTTCTATTATATGTATAAACGCACCAGCAAGGTAGATTACTTTGACCGTTGCTGTATGGTCTTTGATAATGCCTCCACAGCAACAGACGAAACGTCAAGTATAAAAACCTGCATAAAACCTGTACAAAAAGCTGCACCAATGAACAATTTGTTAAAAAGCAGCCATGAAGGCCTATACAGTATGGTTTCACTGGAATCTTCCACAATTCTGAAAGCAAAGCAAGAAGTAATCAATCTTTCATTCAGTTGAGGAATACGTTCTCTCCAATTAGGCTGAAAATCTGAAATGATGCTGAGGCATTGGCTGCTATTCTCAAATGTAACATTGAAGGATATGTGAAAGAGGTTACTATGAAGTCTTTGGGAAAGATATACATACATAATGAGTTGTATGTAATTCATATAAATATTCACATCAATCTCACACTAATGGTTCATGAGAACCAGTGTATGGTTCAACTTGTCTGTTGATTCATCGATGTCACTGCCATCAAATGAAAAAGTTTATGATCTGTGAACGAAGTAATGACCCAGAATGGAATTTTGAGGTACTCCTGTGGTGACGTTACCTCAGGCTGAATAACTGGGAAACAATTTCAGAAATTTTCTAATATACCGTAATGAGAAAGTTGAAGTAGCAAAGTTTCAAAATGAAAAGTTAAGCCCTTTGAAAATTCATTCAGACAGTAAGTGGTATTGAAAATGACTGAGATAATGTAGATATTCATCAACAAAGCCATTATGTACGTTATATTAGCGGCGCTCAAAAAGTCTCTTATGGACAAATTTTCTGAAAGTTTCGAAAGAGGCGGTAGTACAAAATGTGGCTCATAATTATTGAAATCGTCTTTGTCATCTTTTTTAAAAAGAAGAACTACTCCAGAGTCTTTGAGACAAGATGAAAAATTCTGCTGAACAGGATAAAATATCCTTTTGAGGAAAATTTTTGATGCATTCCTAGTAGAATTGAGAAACATAAAGTGTTTTGGTTTCCATACGAATTTCTTTAGAACCCCTATTCAAAAAATGATCACCTTCTTGATATTTTCCATCCATTTTGCGATATAAGTAATAGAGCCATATGAGTTCAAAGCCTTCCCTTATGGAAAAACGCGTGCAAATTTGAACAGGTCCGTTCTGCTGATTTTACGACCCTTGACCTTCAAAGCCCACTTCGAAGTCACATGTGTCTCTTGCCCACTTCAAGATCATACTTGTGACCTTGAAGTGGGCTTGAAGGTCGAAGGTCGTAAAATCGTCAAAAAGGGCATGCTCATATT